GTCTTGATGCCACTAAAGACTCGCCGTGTTGTCAGGGTTGCTGAACGGTAAATCTATTTTTGCACAAAGTCCTCTCGTTTCATGGTATGGAAGTTAAGAGAGGAGGGTGCCAGCTCTCGTATCGTCCCTGTCCCTTGACCGAAGCTCAAAATTACGAGGACCGTCGTCAATAGCCCTTGTTGCGTCTAGTGCAACTTTAATAAAACCAACCATCCATTCAAATGAATTACTTTGATGTTTTTACACGTGCTTCGTAAAACTAGGATTTTTCTAAAAAAATAAGATAAATAAAATATATTTTTAATTTTTTCTTATAGTATGAGTCCATGAATGTAATAAAATTTTCTTTTCTGGAATATGAGTAGGTTTCACTGCATGCAAGGAATTTTATACACAAATGGTTATAATGACATCCAGTAAGTTGATTTATAAACTGTAATACATCTTTCTTAAAGAGTACTTATTATAAATGAAATAATTGTTTCAAAAATATTTTTAAAAAATAAAGTATTTCAAACTCTTAAAATTTAAGAAAATTACCTTTTTAAAACAAATATGTATATGATACTAAATTTAGCTACATTTTAAAAAGTATTATATTTACTATACCAACGAAATTCAGGTGTCTGATTATAATCGCTTTTAAAATATCGTAAGAGAATAAAACTCAAACTGAGGAAAATGCAATTAAAATGCTATCATTCAATTAAAAAAATCAATTGTTAAACTTGCGTCTTAAAATCTCCAGGATGATATAATTTCCCATATGTTTTGTCATTTATTTTCCTCTAAGAGCTTTAAAAATATTCCACATTCTTTTATAAATGGTTTTTCTTCTACTCACATTGTAACTATGTCCAGATTAAAACTTTAAAAACATTTTTTCACATTTTAAGGCATTCAATTAAGCTAAAATTTTCTATACCCGATTCTTTTAAATGACAATACGATAATTTAATTACAATTAAAAAAAATTGATTAAAGTAATTATTTAAATAATTAAATTTTATTCATAATTCCAATTGTTTACAACGTGAGACAGTTGAGAATTAAAACAGATGATGTGTAGCTCAGTTACAGAGCGTTCACTTTGCATATGAAAGACCCTGAGTTCGATCCCCAGCTCTTCCAAATGTGATTACTTCCTTCCTTAATGGGTTTTCCATGTAAAATGTAATGTTACTTTACATGTCTTTAAATGTAATGTTACTTTACA